ATCTCAGTTGTTAGGCTGATTACAACAAAACAGACTTTGGAAGTCAGGGTTTGTAACGCGGCAGGAGAGCCGTTTAGATGCCCTGGAAGGAGAAAGCCGGTTCCAACAGCGACTCTGGGGAATGCGCTCTCGGCCCCCCCTACCGTGCTTACTTAAGCTAATGGAAGATCTTGCCTTTCAGTAGCCGCTGCACTGGGATACCAGACAAACAGCTCTCCTCGACCCCTGGCAGACAGGGCCCCTCTTCAGGACATCATTAAAAGCACATGCACTTGTTTCAGACCCATTGGCAGCCTCGGGTGGCAAGATTCGGGACTTCTACTCTGAAGCCAAGGAGAAGCCAGAGCGGTGGAAAACATCCTCGCTTTGAAAATCCAAAGCTAAATTAAAGAGCTACATGAGATAAGGAGCCTGAAGAATATTAGTTGGCTGCGGGGGTGAGGAGACACACAAAAAGCACAGCAGGTAAGAGCCGGGGGTTGTTGCCAAAAAGGAACTGTCCCAGGTGGCGAGCGAAAAGGATCTCAGCGTTGGAGGCCTATCCCTTTGAGATTCCCTAGCGCGCTCAAGCTTGCTTGTCTTTTTCCATCAGTTTCGAGAGGACGGACTTTGTCAGAGCCTTCCCTATCGGTGCCACTAATCCTGTTATCAGCTTGGTTATAAATGTTAATTCCCCTGGCCCTTCGATGATGGTGCCGCATCAGATTGGGAGCTGTTAGGAAGCCCCTCACCAGAATCTCGCCCCTCCCTGCGAGAAACCGATGAGAGGCAGGGCCAAGGCAACGCGATGGCGGCCTATCCAGAGAGGTGCGTGGATGCCACCGTGCTGGACTTCGTCGCAGACCTGTCCCTGGCCTCCCCGGGGCACCCACTCCTCTGCGACTTCGCACCTGGGGTTCCCTTTGGGGACCGAGACCTTGTGCTCCGAGAGGGAAGACGCAGGAGGCTGGCACCCTTTGAGGAGGAGGATCCCGAAGAGGAGGGCGAAGTAGACGAGGGGGAGGAGGAGGAGGAAGAGGAGCATGGGAGAGGCGCGTCCCCGCTGGGCCGTCCCAAGAGGAAAAGGGTGATCACCTATGCCCAGCGCCAGGCAGCCAACATCCGCGAGAGGAAGCGGATGTTCAACCTCAACGAGGCCTTCGACCAGCTGCGAAGGAAGGTGCCCACTTTTGCTTACGAGAAGAGGCTGTCCCGGATCGAGACCCTACGCCTGGCCATCGTCTACATTTCCTTCATGACCGAGCTCTTGGAGAGCTTCGAAAAGAAGGAAACCGGCTGAGTCCGGGTGGGATGGAGGTGTCTGTCCCCTCCTCTCGTGGGCGTGCGCGGGCTTGGGGGTGCATCAGGACCCAGGAGGGTGCGGCCGAGAGACCAGGAGGGACTCTTTAAGACAGAAAGTCTGGCCTTCTGGAGCTTGGTCCGGACTTGAGAAATCCCCACAGCTATCGAGAAGAGTGGCAGCCGGAGAGTTAACATACACGCGATTGCTTTCTAAGGAGCCTGGGGCGCCTTAGGAGGTAGAATTCGCTGGGCCTGTTGAGGCGACAGCCCAGAAGCGGTTTCTGCCGGCCTAGTGGGTGGGGAGCTAATCCTCTCCCCAAACTGTAGACTTCGGGGCCTTCTACGGAGTCCAAACTCTTCTCTTTACCTTAAAAAAAAAAAAAAAAAAAAAAATAAAAAAATATATATTTTCTTTTTTTTTTTTTTTTTTTTTTTTTGCCTCAACAGTCTGTGCTGCCCAATTCTGTGCAGGCGCTCCGCTCAGCATCCCGTCCGAGCACTTAGGTAGGTCCTGGAACAGACACAGGGGTGCAGGGTGGAGGGTCTCCTCGGAGGCCGAGGGACTCCGGACCTCTTGTTCAATCCTCTTAGGCCTGTCGAGAGACGGAAGGAAGGAAGGAAGTGAAGAAGGAACGGAAGTCCAGGGGACAAGCGACCTCTTAGAAGGGACATCATTCTCCCCTCTCTTCGCCTTAAGGCGCAGAACCAGAAACCTTGTTGGTGTTCCTCCCGGAGACTGATGCTCGAACTCGGAGGAGGACGGAGAGAGCTCCAGTCCTACCGGCGGGGACGCTCCTGGGCTTGCCAAGATCTTGGGCTGCGAGCTTTGGCCGCGGAGCTGGACTTTCCCCTGCGCTTCCGGGAAAAGGACCTGGTCTTCCCAGGCTCGGCGCAGCTTCAGCGCGCACTTCTACATTTTTATCTGTAGGTAGAGAAGACAGCTTCCTTTCTAGTCACAACTAGGAACAAGAAAATCAAAACTCAGAGGAGGAGATGCATGCTTCCACTTTGCAAATATGTGTGTGATGGAGAGGAGGTTGAAGCAGGACCAAGGTGAGGACCCATCTTCAGTTTGGATCCTCTGCCATTCCACGGTTCTTCCTTCTGGGCAACCTGCTAACACCTGAACTGGGGTTCTTCAGATAGGAGTAGGTAAGTGAGGAGAGGAATCCGAATGAACAAGGCCCACCCAATGGCAAATTCGTATTTCTTTATTTTGCCACTTCACCTGACACACCTTTGTGCACCCAAACACACACACACACACACACACACACACACACACACACACACACACATTCTCCCTATCATACCTTTAGAAATATTTTTATTAATAACTAATATATACTTATCCTAGAAAGTTTGGAAAACAAAAGTTAAAAAAGTAAATAAAATTTAAATCACTCCACATCACCACACAGTTAGCATTTTTATTTCCTTCTAGTCTTTTTTTTCTGTATAGATATGAATTAAATATGCTTAACAAATTTGAGGTACTTTTGGATATTGATCTTTCCCCACACTCATCAGTATAGAAAGAGCCCTTTCCCCCTGACTTTAAATATTATTCAAACATAATTTGATTACTGTATTTTATTGTCATAACGATGTATCACAGCTTAATGCCAGTCCTTTACAGGTACATAGCTAAGATACTTCCTTTTTAAAAAATAAATGGCAATGCAAAGAGCATTCTTCTAGATGTCTTGTCTGCCTGTGATAACTTCCTGATATTAGAGTATAAGAAATAAAATTTCTTCATCAAATGAACATTTCAGTTTGTGGCTACAAATGGCCAGATTGCCTTCCAGGTAGGTTCTGCCAGTCCACACTCTTTCCCACCAGCACTGCCAGGATTTACTTGTCTCTCAAGTGTCTGCATTTAAAACTCTTCTAGTTCTCCTATCTATAGGAACTGAATTAGTTCCGAAATTTTGTCATTTCAGAACTAATTCTAATTGTCTTCCAGAGACAATTTCTTATTTTGACTGTGTCTTTTCACTAGGATTTTTTCCACCTCTACCATAGGAACGTCAGGATAAATAGGTAAAAGAAAAAATGTAACCAGGTAAGACCAAAAAAAAAAAAAACAGCAAAATTAGGGAGTGTATTTTTATTCTCTTGTCACTTTACAAAATAAACTGAAACTTAGACAATAACCTCTGTAACAGTTTTATAAAATAAAGTTACTCATTTCCACTTCTTTTTCTAGACAACTTTTTGACTACTGAGTATATCTGTATTTTTAAAGATAAATTTAAAGTTACTCATTTCAATATGTTGACAAAAATAATTATTTCTGAACTTTTCATTAAACAGAATTCTGTTCCCTATCTTCTTATGGAGTGCTAGTGTCTCCATCAATACCTCATGTTTATTCAGTTATTTTTTAATACTTTTTTTAAAAATGTGTCAACATTTTACATATAGTGTGAATGAGTTCAAAACTAAAAGAACTTGCAGAAGCTTCCTTATTTCTCCCCCTTACAGCCCCCCTGAGAATTAAACATCATGTAAAAAAAATCTACAAGTGCTAAGTTTTTAAAAAATGGCTCAAATCCAGGAATCATCATTTTTTTAAAACCAGAAATTAAAGAAAGAAATGCGTGTAGACAAAGGACCTCTAAACCACTGGGTCCTAAAGAGTAAATACAAGCATCCATCATGCTTAATCCTCTCCCTCATGTTACAGACCATTTTGTTACGTTCTTAGTAAGCACATAATATCTTACAGTGAATAGTTCTTCAGCACATAAATAAAATCTAAAGAGCCTCCAAATAAAAAGTGATTTCCCCATTATTACCAGAAGAATTATGCCCACAATTCTTCAGTCTGTTAAATCGCATGAAGGTTTTGTTCTCTGTAAATTTTTTGTATGTTTAGAAGCTGCTCTAAAATGCAAAGTCACTTAAGGCATTTTCTTAATCATTGTCCTGATAGAATAATTTGAAGCCAAACAAGGATTTTAAACACAGAGAAATGGGTTGACTTATTTCTTACACCAAGTTATCCACAGAGATAAGTCATCTGCATTTTGAACATGAATCCACTACACCTCCAAATCTCAACACTCAACTTTTCTTAAGCAATGCGACCATTTTAGTTCTTTTCATTTTAGATCCATAAATTCAGCATACTTTTAATTTTTTTAATTCTTTTTTTTTTTTTTTTTTACCTTAGTTGACACACATATTACATTAGTTTCAGGTGTACAACAGAATGCCTCAACAACTCTATACATTATGCTATGTTCACCACAGGTGCAGCTATCATCTGTCAGTGTACTTTGTATTTTTTTTTAAAAAATGTTGATTTATTTTGAGAGAGAGAGAGAGTACAGGGAGGGGCAGAGAGAGAGAGAGGGAGAGAGAGAATCTCAAGCAGGCTCTGTGTCATCAGTGCAGGGCCTGACCCAGGGCTCCATCACAAGAACCATGAGATCATGACCTGAGCCAAAAGCAAGAGCTGGATGCTTAACCAACTGAGCCACCCAGGTGCCCCTGTCAGTGTATGTTTTAACACAACTGTTTTTAGTATAACGTAACCTATGTTAACATTGTTTTATTCTTTATCTTTTAAACCAACACCAATAAAATATCAGTAGATACTGGTTTTTTAATACTTTCCACCAGTTTTAAAAAATCCTAATGTCAATTACCTCTGGAAATTCTTAATAATGTTTTTGAAATCTAAAAGTTATTTGGACATTTGGTATCTAAATACCATTTTAGACGTTGCATAGAAGTGATTTATTTATATACAATTTACTGACTGAAACCTGCCTTTTGGTCTCAAACTAAATTCCCCATAATTTTCAGGTTACTAGTAGTATTTAGACATTTATACCAAAGAAAAAAGATCTAAATGAAATCATATTTGAAAGACATAATCAGACTTTCCAAGGAAAGTAAAAATCAGAGGCCTTTGCCATCAACAGGCAGCCATTCAGGATGATCATCTTTTACAGCTGCCCAATGTGAAAGCCGATTTTGGCAAAAGTAGCAGTGAAAACTGAATCAAATATTATGTTAGTATTTATGCATAATTTCTGCATGAACATACAATTAAGATCCTAGGATTTGTATTGCTATTTATTATTGCATTTGTCAGCATTTCCATTATAAAAAAAATGTGGTAGAAGGTTTATAACAAAACTATAAAAATTCTGAGATGAAATTTGATAAGCACCGTTTAGCATAACTGTTATTCTTAACTACAAATCTTCAAAGAAAATTTCAAAGGTAATGAAAACACTTGAGTACATTTCACATGTAGGCTTTCAAAATGGACCTGCAATTTGAAAAACTAAGAGACTGTACTTAATACAAAATGCAAATTATTTTATTTTGATCAAAAATAACTGGCAGATTAATGTTGAATTTTTAAGTACTAAATCTCCTTTTTATAAGGTGACATTTCATTAAATTTTCTTTAATGTAAAATAGAAAAGTGTTAAAGGTTTGGTACATATCTGTATCTTGGTGCAAGTTCACTCAAAGGTTTCTGAACTTTGCCAACATTTTGGGTGAAGTTAGTCCCAGTTTCTGGTCAGCGCCCTCTCTTCCTGTGAATGCTGAACTAAAAAAGGTTACAAAACAAAAGTCAGCAGTTCTGACCATTTTGTTTTGACTTTGGGGTTTCTTTGAATCCAAAGCTCAAAACCAAACCTGGCGGAGGAGGATAAGGAAGGGAAAAAAATCCATGTAGGCTGAAATGAATAAAATACCAGAAACATGGAAAAAGACTTCAAGTCTCTATAAACCAAAGCCTATAAAATTCCACAATCTTCCCTGTGACCCCAAATTTTTAGTTCTGTACCTGAAACATATTCCATAAAGAAATATAAATAATTGCAAAAAATAGTATGAACATATTTTAAAACACCCTTTATGGTTACTATTTGGCAGAATTCCACCTTCAATCTTGCAGAAAGCATAGAACTTTTAATATTCAGTGAAACCAAGAATTTAATAAATATGATGGAAATTATCAGAATAAAATGACTTATGGTTACTTAGCGCTTTATGGTTTTCAAAGCACCATTCACATACTTCCGCTCATTTGATCCTCCCAATTGGATTTTAACACGA